TGTGTGTGTGTGTGTGTGTGTGTGTGTGCGTGTGTGTGTGTTCATGCGGTCCACATGTGTTTAATCTCTCTCTCACAGTAAAACAGTCCTTCCAGCTAACAAGATATTGGTTGTTTTTGTTGGTCTGGACAAATGGAACTCAGTTCCACAGAACAGATAAGAAAGGAGAAATTATCCGTTGAAAGAAGACATTCCGAAGAAGAAACTCGGCTGCGTATTTTTCACAGCAGTTTTTCAGAGCTCGAGGTAAAACTGAAGAAAAATCTAAAAATCTAAACACAGAGCTGTGATGTTTGAAGGTTCTCAACTGGAGCCATCACGCACAGTGATCAATGATTTACAGAAACTGCAGAAGTTGTGATCCTTGAAGAATTCATCATGCATTATCTGTGGCATGCTACTTCCTCCATTTGCCTTGACTTATTTTTATCCTTTCTTTGTAGGAGGGCTGGACACACACTGTTTGACAGAAAGTAACAGAGGCTGTGAACCAGGGGTTTGTGTTTTGACAGGTCTTTCTGACAGAACAAAGCAAAGTGCATTCCTAGACAGAAGAAAAACTCTGGCCATGATTGAACTGTTGAGTAGAACAACAAACACTTCAGATGAGGATATGCTGCTTCTCTCCATCATATAAGACAAAACTAAATTAGTTGCACTGTATTTCTGATTCATGCTATATCAGATATTGTGTATTCTTATTTAATGCTGCATGTTTGATGTATGTAGTGAATATTTCCATTGAGTATCTGGCTCTAAAAGTTTTATCCCCAGTCTGCTGTAACATGACCAACACACTTAAATCTATGTAATTCATTTTACACGACAGACACTTGCGGCTGTTGCCAAATATAGCTCAGCCTGACATACTGAGATGTAGAATGCACAGTGGTCATACTGAAACTAAGTGTAGGTACTTATATAACTGTTCACCAGTTCAATAATCTAAAGTAAACAGAAACAATTAATCTGCCACATATTTTTTAACATTAGAAACTAAAAAGTGATAAAATACCACAGCCTTTTTCCATCCACTCATTTATAAAGGTCATATCAAATTGTTCATGGATCACAGAAACTGATAAAACAGCCTCTAATGTATTTGTGATGTGCCCGTAAAGTAGAAAAACGCTAACATGTGATTGTTTTTGTATAAACCTGATTTTTAACAAAGGAACCAGCTGAAAATGTGACTGCCAGCACTCCAATCTGAAGCACGAGTTTCTAAAAGATTCAGAGAATCTCACAAAGACAGAAATAAATCTACTGCTCATCAAAGGAAACATGAAATCTGAAGTCAGAACGAATGGAACACCAAAAGAAAAGATGATTCAGCACCTGTTACCTTCCACGCTGCTTGCTTCACTGCAACATTTTCCATGGAGAAACCATGAAGTGTCAGAGACAGCTAAAGTGATGTTGGTGTGCCATGATTCTGCTGGTAACTATGGCGATTTCATTCATGCATTTATCTGGCTTTACTTTAATACATCCTGGTTCAGGTCGAGCTTTTTACTGGATGGACAGGTGAGACAGTGCCAGGATAATTAGACCGCTCCTTATATCTGCCATGTCATCTTTAAAAATAATTCTAGCCTCATGAGTTTAATCTTTTTCTTGTAGCAGCCACTTTGCTCTACAGCTTCTCCTTTTCTTGTTCCTCACACATCTGCTGCCCATCTCTTCTTCCCATCATCCCTTTATTTGGAGAAGGAATAACAAACTGTCTCCTTTTAAAATACACACATACAGACGCCACGTGCATCGTGAACAATTCTCACTGTTATCATTCCTTCTGTTATCTGACCCAGTGACAAACCCAATCAGAAACTACAGACTGAAAGGTGAAACAAAAAGAGAGGAGATGGACGCCAAAGAAAACAAAGAGACTAGATTGGTTCTTTCCATTGCACATGTAAACCCATTAAAGTCCAGATGTTGACCTTGACATGACACGCTTTGAACAGTACGTCTAACTCACGGTGCCAGTCAGTGCCAGGTAACAAATAGAAAGAAACCCTGAAACTCTGATCTTACTTCTTTGTGTAAATGGAGTCTGGAGAAGGCACAGGGGATTACTGTCAATCTTCTGGACCGTAAAGTATCCCAGTAAAGCAGAAGCCGGAGCCAGCTGTCCCCAAAGTGGTGCCTGGTCACAAAGCTTTAATAATATAATGCTGCCTGTTAATGAAACAAGCCATTCCATGTGTTTCTAATCGAGCATGAGTCAACCCTTCAAGGCCTGACGTCCTGCCACAGGCACAGAGCGATGCAGGACGGATAATCCTCTAACGGGTCCTGCAAACAAGCGCACCCATACGTGAGGTTTGATTCACTGGCACTTGGCAGCCAGTTTGGGACCTCGATGAAGTAATTGGAAACACTCACAGTGACAGTAGGAGATCTTACTCTGTTACTGCTTATGTTCTGACCTGCCGAGAGTTAAATGACAGCACAACCACAAACTACAAAACAGCCCCCCTACTAACACCTCTGAAGCAATAGCATGTTATATTTAATTTGTTTAATATGTGCAAAAACTGTAAAAATGGCTGGTGGTGGTTTTACAGGGACGATATGAGCAGGATTAGCTCCTGTGTCGGCATAGTGACTTCCTGAAGTCCAACAGATGTTTTCATTTTTATCACCTGAATAGTAACAGGGCAACTGTTTTCCTCACATTATGCTCAAACTGTAAAATAACAAACTTCAATTACATTTCTTTGTCATAAGAGTTTGATAATGACATTAGGAATCATTGTTTTGTCTTTTTTAAATACTTTATATCAATGTCAGAAATTGTTAAGTTGTCAGAAGTTGTAGCCTAGTGAGGGATTTGTCTTTACTATGTGAACTCCCTTATGGCATCATACACATTGCAATGAAATTGAATGCTGTTCCAGTTCACATCTTCTACATCGCTGTCAACAAAACTCAGTGACCCTTCTCAAAAACCTTGAGTGTCCATCAAACCCACACAAATAACTCTTATTCTAAGACCTGTTTCCCTCATCATGAAAAAGGTTTGACCGTGGTAAAACACACACAGAGAAATCTACACCCTGACCTTCAGTTTCTATAAGCCTTGTGGCAGGATATGTTCTCTACCACTCGACCAAAAGCAAACATCCTCAGTCTGTCATCATTTGGAGACAAATTAAAGGACCTGCTCTGTTAGAATGAGGGCAGGAGTGAAAAGCAGATGAAACGTCATCAGGGGACGAAAGAATGTGAAATCCAGACACTGAGAGATAAAGAGACACAATGAAACAAAAAGAAAAGCAAACTGAGCCTTTTACTAAGCTTTGTAAATTCATTAAATTTTACCTCTGTATGCTCTGAATACTGTAAATCAGTGTCTCCTTTCATGACCCTGAATCCAAAAGGACAAGTGTAGGACCCTTGAGTTTCTCACAGTGTTTAAATAAAAACGCACACACCTACAAGTGCTGCCAAAGAACCAGACAATTCATTCCACATGCGAACCAATATGAAGCCAGACACACACTGTAACAAAGCTGCTTGTGATAAATCAGCTCTACAACAGGATCCCACCAAACAGTGAGGAGGAGGCAGAGGGGGAAGAGGGGGTGGTCCACATGTGTGATGCTCTCGCTGTGACTCTAGTCATTCTTTTCTCCTTTAGGGACTTGGAGAGCAGAACTAATGGTGCTGCTGTTTGTTAGAGCTGAGATTAACTCCTGCAACAACACTGAACATCTGTCTGGATACAGGATTTCTGGGGCTGAACGGCGACGCATGGACTTTAAGTTTGACGCAGAGATTGATTGTTTGGGAGGGTTTTAAAAGAAGCGCACGGATCCTGTGTTGTCACAGGAGAAAAATGGCTACCAGCTCAAGTTCACACGTTAAATCATTGCAAAGCGAAGCGGCTGGGTTTCCGCTTTATAAGTACAGCCCTGCACGCACGCACACACGCACAATCAGACTGTGTGAGGTCATTGCTTACTTCTGCAGGGTGAGGCTGAGGTTGTCAGCGCAGCTCTTGATCTTGTTCTGGGCCTCCAGGTGGTTCATGCCCTCCGTGGCGATGCCGTCAATGGACAAAACCAAGTCACCGACAGCAATGCTGGCTTTAGCCGCCTTCCCGCCATCCGTCAGCTGCAAAAAAAACCCACAGACATTTTAAATGAGGAGCAGCAACATAACAGTCAGGATTATTAAACAGGAGGCTCAGTGGGGTGATGTGGGAAGTTCACATTCGCTCTGTATTTATCATGAGATTTATGGATTCCTTCCTTTCCCAGTATTTGGGTGAAGCTAATGAAAGACTGTGTTCTTTGCCACATGACGGAGGGTCTGTATGTTCCCTGATGTGTGTTTAATAGCTGGAGTCTTCATCTCCGAGTTACTTTTGTTTCTTCTTTATGACCTGCTGTGATTGAGCTTTAAGCTTGTTAGGAGACAGAAATGTTCCGAAAGGTCTCACAGCTAAAGTTGAATCTTTGAGCAGTTTTTCCACTACTGTTTGTCACAATAGATCATGAAATGAAAATAAGATCAAGATAAATACTTTTCTTTTATCAATATACATGCACTTAAAATGAATCAGAGTGTTTAACAGCCAAACATTACATTTTAAATGCAGGCTTGGTTGCATCAACACTGAATACTAAATTATATCACAGTAAATCCACTAACAGGGCTTAATCTAAATACTGAACTGACATTTGGCAAATTTATACAGGAGGATTTTTTTTAAGTGTGTAAATTTTCAGACGCAGCGACAACAGCAGCTTACACACACTTAACTGTTACAATAAATATCAAGTTAAGTGAAACTAGTCCCATAAAAAGCTATTACACCATTATTCTCTGTACAAAATGTTGTTAAAAAGGTGAAAAATAAGTAATGGGGAAAGTACATGGTGCAGACACATACCAGTTTTATTGGCTTTGTGGAAACAACAATTATAAACCAGACATCCCTCAGTTTGTAAACAACACAAAATATCCACACGCTCCATTTCTCTCTGGTTTTCAGTGTCTTTCGTGATTTTTGAGGGATGCTTTAAAGCATCTAAACAAAGTTTAATTGCTGCACTTCCACTCTGGAGGAAGCTGCTTAATGTGAAACAGATCCAAGCAGCACAAAAAACTCAACATGTTGAGCAGCGGAACTGGTATTTAATACCAACCCTGCTGGTCAACATGGCCTCAACATGCACAAACACTGTAGACCATCAATTATGTTCTTGTCAACATGGTTGAATATGTTATTATAATTACAGGAGGGGGAGTGACTCTAACATTTTCCACCCTCCCACCCATTTGTTCTCTATTCATCTGTGAGCAATGCACAACGTATTTTGTAAACAAGCGATGGAGAAGAGTTACGAGGCAACCGAACATTTAACAGCCACATAAATTGGCTTGACTCCACACCAAAATAAAATCTAATTAGATTAAAAGTGTAGTTATATGTTCTCTGTTGTTGTGCACTTTGCTGAGTACAGCCCTGCTTCTCTCTTAATGTTATCTTACACATGTGAGACAGACATTGTCAGTAATGGTGGCAAAAATGGCCAACAGACAGGACAACACATGTTAAAGTATATATAATAATAATAAATAAACCAGAGCTTCTCTAATCACCAGGCTGGAGGAAGACAGGGATTATTTGAAATTGTGAAACAATCATAAATGGTAAATGGTTGTATTTATATAGCACTTTTCTAGTCTTGATGAACACTCAAAGTGTTTTCACTACAGTTGGCCATTCACCCATTCACACACACATTCATACAGTGCATCTATTAGCAGCAGTTTTTGTTTTTTTTGTTCTATGGGGCAATTCCGGGTTCAGCATCTTGCCCAAGGACACTTTGGCATGCAGATGGGAAGACTGGGGATTGAACTTCCGACCTTCTGGTTGGAGGATGACTGCTCATCCACAGCCACCCCCCAGCCACGGGAGACAATCAGTCTCCCGTCTTTTTCCCATGACGCCAAATCCTTGTATGTGGCAGCAATGTGAAGGGACGACAATTTCCTTTCATAAGCTGCTTTCAGACATGCACTGGGGCTTCATGAGTTTTTGAACACGATGGACAAAAAACTGAAAAAACCCATTAAAAATACAAATGAGAAGATGCAAAGATGTAAATGAGATTCCACAGTTTTTGGCAGTAAAAGCCATCCCTAGTGTCAATGTGTTTTTGATTTCTGCAGCAGAAAGTACAGGTTGCATCATGCCTCTTCTTCCCAGACGCCACCTCTCACCTTAACTCTCTGGACATTTTCCTCCCGTCTTGAACACGTCTGACCCAGACAACCTCATGTCTGGAGTTCATGTCTGAAAACGGCTTTATTGAGTCTTTATGAGTCTACAGCTGAAATTTCTCAGTACTTGTTTTGTGCGTTCGTTGCATTGTTAATAAATTGGTGTCTAGATACTTGTTAAAACACCTTGCAGCTGCAGTTCAGACCATTCTTGGTCATACACACAAGACCAAGTGTGTCCAAAGTGGAGTGAGGTCATTTGTTTCTTTTGACACCATGAAAAAGGACCACACAGACCACATCGCTGAACACACACACACACACACACACACACGAGAACACTGTGATTGTTCTTGCCTTGAAGTGGCTCTTGCTCCACTGCACATGACTTCAAGAGCAGCTATTGGATTTGGTGGCTCTACAAGAAAACTTGTTTCTGAACTGACATGTTGAGGATGAGAGACTCTAACAAGAAATCTTTGTCACATTCCCCTCCGTGTGTTTCCTCTACCACACACTCATACACACACACACACACACACACACACACTCACACACTTACACACAAAGACAGACACAGGCAGGGCTAATAAAAGAGGCTCTGGACCCGGATTAGTGTTAAGGCTCTGTGGCCCCAACCTTTTATAGTCATATTAGCCCAACACACGCAACATCACTCGACGCTTCTCACAACCAACCACACAGGGCAGGAAGAGAAGGGTAATGAGGGATGGACTTGACATTGATTAAAATTGCGGAGTGGAAGGCAGAAAGAGTGGGAGAGGATTATAAAAAAACGCTACTGGGTACATTGGCTCTGTGGGCTCTTTATTCTGCGGGCTACGTTTTGACTCATTTCCAGGGGCGTGTTCCTGCTAACCACTCTGGCACTGGTCTCAACCAAACTCTCACCACAAATATTCAATTGTATGTTTTCCCATAATTAGCACTCCGTTCCTGCCCCCAAACAAATGCTACCTCTCTCAACAGATACTCAAAGAAACACTCCCAGAAACCGTGCACCTTCCTTCTGCATCAAAGTGAACTGCATCCACACGGGAGAGTTTAACTGAACCTGAACAAGAGGCCGTACACCAGACGAAGAGGAGAAACATTTTTTATTTGAGTTGTACGTATTTAATCTGTCTTCTGCACAGAATTGTTTGTGCTGGTTGATCTGTTTCCAAAAGCAAACATTTGTTTTCAATCACTTTGATTAAAAAATATGTCAGGGCTCAAAGTAGTTTCAATTTTCATATCAAAGAGGGCGCAGCAAATCGTTGAGAAAATCAGAAACAGAAATCTTAAATAATCCGTCCATGCGAGAGGCCGAGCACTTTTTTCCCAGGGTGTTTGATTTATGGCTTTGTTGCCTTATCCATGTCAGAAAACAGCATTTTAAACACTGCAAATATACATCCACTGGAGACAGTAATACACAGGAGACTAAGACACACAGTACAAGTGCACACTCTGGCAACAACTGAGCATTGCTTCAAAAGTGCAGGGACATCAGTTAACATGTGGCCACGACTCATATTAATAAATGACCAACACAAAAGTCCCAAAACTGGAGAAAATAAAAACAGATGAGGAAAGTTAAGGCGCATTTTGGGATTTGGGATATTTTTAATAGCAAATAAAAGAGAAATTTCCCTCCACTGTTGGGGAAGTGGCCGAAGAAGCCTGCATCAAAAAGCTAAAAATGTATTTGTAGAAATAAAAGCTCACTCAAGACAAATACAAGAGGAATTACTATGGACCAAAGCAGTGAACATTGCACTTACATTAATGAGGTGACCAGAGGTTTTTACTACGTCTTCCTTTGCTCCAAACCAACAGAAGTCGTAATCCCTATAAAAACCACTCAAGGGTTTTGTCCCTTCAGCGATGACAAAGCTTTTGGGCTGAAATGAATGATGCTGTCATTTTTACTTGGGAGAAATAAATGTCAAATCTAGAAAGGCAATCGGAGGGTGCATACCTCCGCCTATAGGCTAATACCCTATGTCACAATGATAAAGAAAGTGGAGCCGCCCCTTCAGCGAATCTACTTCGAAAGTTCCTGGGTTCCTCCTTCACCCTTTCACCTTCCACCAAGTTTCCACAAAATCTGGTCAGTAGTTTTTGCAGAATTCTGCTGAGACAGACAAACAGCAATGAAAAAACTATGACACTCAGTGGAGCATAAACCTCCACCACGGCCCAACATTCCCTTTATGAAACCAGCCCCTTAACCATGTCCAATTCTTTCCTTCAAGATCCATGAATTATTATCTGAGAAATCGAGGAAAGTGTTGAACAAGCTTTATAGAAAATGGGGAAAAGATTTGTTTATCTGCACCAAAATCCTTGAGTGAAGCTACACCCCTCTCCAAATGGAAATCGGTTGGATGTTGTTTGCGTAATTGTGCTAACTAACTAACAAACAATCAAACAGATGCAGATGAAAACAGAACCGCCTTGGAGGAAGTAGCCTAATAAATGCTAATGTTGCTCTGTGCCTGCTAAATGCATAAATGGTTATAATTCTTTTTTAAGTTAAGCAACTTTGAAAGGGTAGGCTACAGACTATATCCATCTTTTTTAAAGTTGCTGTGATTCTATGTTCTAAGCTTTAGGCAACTTAAATGTCCCAATTTATAAGAGCTGCCTTTACGTGCTATTTTGTACGTCCTTCTTATTCTTTGTTTTCAACATACATTAACCTTGTTTCCTTGCCTCATTATATATTCAAGCAAAAGTGAAAGGGTCCACACTTGTCATCGCTACACATGCAGTGTGTTAAACCCTCCACAGATGAACTTGACATTAAGCTTCCAGCTATTTCACTTTTCAACACCTATGCTGCCTGATATTAATCTTTTGGCTGGAAAAAA